TAATAATAAGAATTTAATTGTCGCACTCCTTTTCGAGTTTATATAAAAGTTTAATTTTTTGCACTCATTTTTAAGGTCTATAATAATATGAATTTAATTGTTGCGCTCGTTCTTGAGTTTATATACAAATGAACATTAATTGTTGAATCCTTTTTGGGCCTATAAAAAGGCCTGAAGGGAGAGAGAAGAGATGGAGTCCTTAGCTGATCCAGGATTTCCCCAGAAAGAGAAAGTCATCCTGCGTAGCGGTGAAGAGTTGCAGGGAGGAGTTGCATCGAAGAGTTGTGGTGCAGAGTTACGGTGCAGAGTTACGGTGAAGAGATACGAAGAAGGGTTGTGGTGCAGAGTTGCAGCAAAGAGTTACAGTGAAGAGATACAATGCATTTCTTACGTCTTTCACATTGCTTATGAGGTTATTATGGCTTCTCAACCGTATGAAATTCTTCAATTAAAATTAGCACACACAATTTATAAAATGAAGAATCACGTACCTTTTGTGGTTAATGCATTCTGAGGTTCTGCCCTTTCAGGCTTATTTCTTATAGGAGCTTGAACCGGTACCTTCTAAAGCTCATAGGCTTCTGAGGTTTTCCAGTGAAGACCCACTTGGGCTCGTCTTCCATCAGCATGATAGCTTCTTATCGAGCATTGACTTCTAGGCTTGACTTTCTAGGGCATGGTTGAAATCAGAATCCATTGAGGGTGTAAGACTAGTTCTGAGTTGTATAACCTGAGATGCTCAAGGGTATTAACCCGTAACAAAATCATATGAAATTCAATTAGGATGGTTGCCCTATCTTAGGTTGTCGGCCGAAGTTTTTACTTGACAACCGTAACTAGTTTTGGAAGAGGTCAAAGGAAATCCATTAAGGATTTTTGACCTATTCAAGTCTGTATGTCGAAGCTTTTGCTTGGAGACTGTAGCCTGTAATGGAAGAGGTTGAATCAAGTTCCTCTGCAATTGATTAAACCTAGAATGACGTATCAGAGATGTTCACTGTTTCTCGAGACTAAGGCGTAGATCGCAATGAACCGTATGTTTTCTTGGAAGTATGGTTTTATTCATGCTCAAGAAAAATGTTTGACAACTTATTAGTTGTTGTTTTTGAATCTTTTTGCCCCTCAACATGGGCGTTTTTCATGTGAGCTTGTAAAACAATCCATTCTTCGGGCCTTAAAGAGATCAGCTTCTTGATCTAGTTGAAGAAGAACTCCAATATGACGAGGGGGCGCTGAGGAAGTGTTATTTGAGGTGAAGATTGCCCTCATTACAGAAGAGATTCTCGTAAACTTTTAAACTGAATAAAATGTGGGATGATTTCCCCACCACAATCGTGCCTGAGATGTTAAATGGAAGGAGCTTTCGAGACTGCAATGTAGGTTGCCACCCAGTCTGGAAGAAATTGTGAAATATTTTATGTCTGAATAAGATGAGAGAAGTCATCCCTACTACAATTGTGCCCTGGGCATTGATGTGAATGACCTTTCGATACTGCAGTGACGGTTGCTCTTCACATTGAAAAATGCATCAAAGATGTTCTTCATGATGTGAAGGAGGTTCCTTTGCCATTTGGATGAAGTACATCATTGGGAAAGCAAGTTGAGGCTCGATGTCTTAGAGTTGAAAACAATGCCAAACGAGACTTCTCTTCCCACAGACGACGCCAAAACTAATGTCTGCCAAAAAATTCGTGGCGGTAGATTAATGGATTATCTTCTTAACGTTGCGCGAGAATTCAACACACACAGAAAATAGAAGAGAGTAAGCAAGAATAAACAACTCAAATTTTTACGTGGAAAACCCTGAATGGGGGAAAAACCACGTGGCCTAGCCTAGTTAAAATAATACACTATGAATGATGACTCACATGTTCATTCTTCTCCTAAAATAGGAAAGATGAAATTACAAAGTTGTGTAACTATAATCTGGCTACAGTTTTTGTGACAGTAGGTAGCAAGGGTCATTGTTGATTATTGTTGATATAATATTCTCGCGTGAGTGTTTTAGATGGTTGCTCCATAAGCGTTGATTGACCAAAGAAACATAGTAAGCGGTTACAAAAGTTGTAGACCACATAGGCCGCAGTGATGAGTATGAATGACGTTCAGAGGCTGTTGGGGCCAGAGTCGGGAACTGCACGAGCTGTGAACCACGTAGTCCATAGAGGCCAATATGAATGATATTCGTAAGCCGCGAAGGCCAGAGTCAGGAGTTGCATGAGTTGATGACCACGTAGGTCGTTTGGGCAAGCATAAATGACGTCTGTAGGCCGTGGGGGCCATAGTCCGGAGCTGCACGTGTTGTGAACCAGGTAGGTCGTAGGGTAGAGTATGAATGACATCCGTAGGCCAGGAAGACTGGAGTCAAGAGTTGGAGTCAGGAGTTACACGTATTGTGAACCATAAAGGCTGTATGGGCGTGTATGAATGACATATGTAGGGCGCGAAGACTGGAGTCGATAGTTGCAGGTGTTGTGAATCACGTAGGTCGTATGGGTGAGTATCAATGACGTTCGTAGGTCATGGGGGCCGGATTCGGGAGCTACATGAGCTATGAACCCCGTAGGTTGTAGGGACGAGTATGAATGACATCAATAAGCCTTTGGGGTTGGAGTCGAGAGCTACACGAGCTGTGAGCAAAATAGGTCATTGTTGACACATGAACAGTAGTGATGAGCTCATTTCCCACAATGATGATTGACAACGTCTGATTGGTGGTAATCGATGGTGATTGGTGGTGACCTACAGTGACGGTCGACAGTGGCTCAAGGCGATCGACGGGTGTCGACGATTGCTGGCGGTGGTCGTGGTGATCGACGGTGGTTGATGGCGATCGGTGGTGGTCGACGACAGTCGAGATGGTGTTGGACTTCAGCTCCTTCTCAGAGCTTCCAATTCTCTCTGAAGCTTCAAGTCTCTCTACTTATGTCAGGGGTGGCGCTCTATTTATACTATTCTGGGTGTCATTAATGCATGAATATGAATCATTTTTATCGAACGGTTTGGATAACTTCCTTCAATCATAAGGTGTTTAATTGACATTTGGATCCATTAATGATGTCAGAATTGAGTCATATTGGGCTTGTTGGATTCGTCTTGTCGAAACGCTCGATTCGAGTATAGACTTGCTAGTGTTTACATTTGTTTGATCTTCCAAATGTGTCCTAAAATATTCCAATTAAGGTTTAATGACTTGATCTGAGCTTGATTTGACTCGGATTGGAATGAATTTGATATCATTAGGTCTGTCTCATAGAGCCGGTCTGTTTAACTATAAGTTTGCTGAAATCAGAGCTCTGAAAGAGTTTTAATTGAAGTCTAAATTTTTCTTATTAAAAAATTTGCCTCGAGATTCGTGCTAGATGATACAATTTTGATATATATTAGGGGAAAGAGCAACAGTGGCTCCCTACGCGTTAATTAAAAAAAAAGGTACAGAGAATGGAGGGGGGGGGAGGATCCCCTTCTAAGAAACTAAAAATACATTTAAACACACCCCTAGGGGTTCCTCTCCCCACAAAACAACTCACACAAAAAGAAACTTCCAAAATTACAGGTATACCCAAAACCAAATGGCAAAAACCCAAAATGAAGTAAACCTGTGATCTAGTATATCTAGAGAAGTGACTACAAAAGAGATGTACAAAAAAAATCTTCCGGTTAGCAATGATTATCCAAAAGCAATCCCACGAGCAGACCAAAGAACTGGCATGCCGCAATCCAAAGAGATCGAAAACAAGTCTCCCTAAAAGTCCAAAGCTTGAGAGCATCAGATCCTCAACCTGCATCCTAAAAGGACTGAAGAAATAAAAAATAAAGTGAAAACCAATTTTAAAGAAAATATAAAGTTGGTCCTCCTTCCTCCAGCTTCCAAACAGTAAAGGCAATCCAACCAATCGTAACAATGCCAACAGAATTATAGGGAACCAGAGAAAGATAGGAGCCATGGGCCTCCAAATGAGAGCCAAATTGCCCACAAATAGACCCCAGGTGAAAATAATGCAGCTCATGAAAGTCCCCAGAAACTATAGTCCTCAACAAACCTTCTCCCAATATAACACCTTCCCACAGACATCACCCCAGTAGCAGAGGAGCCCTGTGCCTCCTTGCTAGAGATGAAGCAGGAAGTATAAGACAACCCGGAAGAAAAAGAAAAAACCCCCAGAGTAAACTCTCAGCCCATAACCCACAAATACTCTCATCTCCAACAACAAAATCATCATTAAAAAGGGAGCCCTCGACCTCCCATATATATATATATTGTGTCGCAAGTCTTGGCCTGTTGATTAAATCCTCTCAGGTCAAGGGTTTGATCCCACCGCGACCCGGATGCTCTGAAATATTAGGTACATGGTGTAGACACCCAATCATAGGTGCTCGAGCGCAAAGGAGAAATGATATTTGGGGCCTATATATATATATAAAATGAGTAGCATTTTAAAAAAAAATTAATTGAGTACAAGAGTACAAAGATTTATGATCAAATAAAAGTATTAATTTAAAAATCAGAATAAAAATTATTAAATTAGATTCAAATGATGTTTTAAGATAAACAATAAATTTTAAATTTTTTCCCAACCCTTAACATCATATGATTATATGATTACGTGATTATGGTTGTCAAAAGTACTCTTTGTTCATGAATAACTCGTGTTCGACTTGCTATGAAAACGAGTCAACACGAACACCGTTTTTGAACTCGAACTAGAAATGAGCTAAACACTTTTACACCCCTACTAAATACCCCCATTTAAAAAAAAAAAAAAAAACTATTGAATGTAATCATTTGAATAACGTGATACATCTTGATCAGATGTATCTTTTACACAATAATTTCTTTGATCCGGATATTTTTGACGATTATTTTCATTCTATTAATTTTATTCTATATTACCCCACCACTTTTATTTTTTTATTTTTATTTGAATTATCTGGCTTCCATTATGGTTTCCAATTACCAAATACTTAAAACTGATTAGGTTTCACTAATTACTATATATTCTTCCTCTTTGTCCTTATTTATATAAAGCGACCTTCGTTTCCTTTGCTTCCCCAAATAGACATTTTTTTCTCGCACTCTGTTGGAGGATTTCGCTTCTCTCTTTCAAATATGAGTTCTTATAACCAGCAAGCTGCTCCAGTTCAAGGTACACAGTTTCTTATATCTTTCTATTCTGTAATCTGAAAAAAAAATTAGGAAAGAATCACCATCATCATATTGTCAATACTGATCATTTTGTTTGAGTAATTTTTTTTTTTTTTTTGGGAAATCCCTTTTCTTTTTGCAAGATTGTGGAAAATATCTACTTCGATATCTGAATTTCTCTTTTCTCGATTTGAAATTATTCGAAAAAAAAGCGATCAAAATGGCATACAAAAATCAATAAACTTCTTAAATTTTTTTGAATCTAGTACTGAAATCTCATATTCCACTTCTATCTTTTTCAGTAAATCATTGCAAGGACAGTAAAAAGCTACAGATATGAGAAATATAATGAATATAAGCTATTGTAAGCTGATTTAAATTAAGTTTAAGATTTTATCAAAACTCCCTGGATTCAATCTGGATTCCTTTTTGATTTGCCTCCTAATAATCGATTGATTCGATATCGATCAATCGAATAATTTGAATTTTAGGTTACTTTTTTAATTCCCCATACTTTATGCATATCTGATTCAATCTAACCCCGGCTTGTTCCGTTCCGATCTGATTTCAATAAAATAAAAAATGTTAAATAAATAAGGCCGAAAACACCATATATCAGGATGAATCTTATGACAACTTAACCCTTGGAATTATAACCAAGTAATTTAGATTTATTATTTACATCTCTTTTATTTTTCAGTCTATCCACCGCCACAAACAGCATATCCTCCTCCAGGAACAGGTTTAGCTTACTCTGCTCCTCTCAACGCCGTTCATCCACCGGCATACTCCACCGCCCCTCCACCAGGCTACCCGGTTAACGGCGCCACCGCTTCCGCTCAACGGGTTCCAGTGCAGACAAAGAAAAGAGGCGATGGCTTCTGGAAAGGATGGTATGTATTATGAATTTCAATTTTGGAAGGAATAAAGATTTCATTTTTTTTTATTATTTATTATTTATTTATTTTTGTGTCTTGTATGTTAATTTTGAGGACTTTAAAATAAAATTTCTCCTTCACCTGAATTATTTTCACAGCGCTGCGGCACTGTGTTGCTGCTGTCTTTTCGAGACCTGCTGCGAGTAGGAGGGAGCTCAATACTTCAGTTGTTATGACCGTAAACAATAATTTATATGGTTTTTATTTATGTTAAGCACTGTGTTTAGTCAGTGTATATGTCTTGGTTATGAATTGTGATCATTTCATTGTGTTATGTGCCTTGGATATTTTCTGCTTTTGTTAAAAAGTTGTAAAAGGACTATGGGGTTGTTTAAGACACTTGTAAGTGCTTGTTCCATGAGTCTATTTCCATTCCCGTTTTTTAGTGACAATTTATGTATCCGTGTTATTGATTAATAATTACTATGATTATCATTATACTAATTTCATTTTGTCATATTTCTCACTTGCAGCCACTCGCCAACAATGTAAGTTGTCAACTTGTTTGTTTCTTTTTAGTGGGCAATGACCAAAAAACACAATACAGAATTTGAAAGGGAAATTTTTGAATATATCAATTAAATTCATTCATCATTGTCACCATCTTCATCATTAACTTTATTCCGACTATTTCTGATTTGCATATTTACATATAGGACTAATATATATACCTGACACCAATGCAGAAGCACCAAAATAAGTTGTATTTTTTTTTTTTTTTTTGCAATTTTTTTCCCTAACTTTCAATTAATGTCATTCTCTTTAAAATGATTATGAATGTTAGGTGCTTTTCAACTTTTTCTCAGTTGGAGTAGTGAAAAATCATGATACATTATGTTTAAAATTTAAATAATGTTAACATATTTATAGTTAATTTATACACAAAACAAAGAAGTTTAAAGTTTTTAATGAAAAATATTGGGACAAGTAGAGGGATTATAAGATTACAAAGACTAATTATTTTTTTTCAAATGTATGATGATGTCTTGTGCTATGAAAGATCTGAATTATATAGCTCACATCCTTTTTCATTGAACCAATAAAATTTATAATTTGATACATAAATCAATTTTGGTAGGCTATAACAATCCTATTATAAAGCATGCTATACCACTAAATGCATATTAAAAAAATTAAAGCGAATAACTATAAATATGCAATCGAATTAAATAATTATAGTTAATGCGTTTATTTCTTATATGCCCCCTCAATTTCATCCTTTTTTACGAAGCTATGCTGATAAATCCACAGTTTTAATGTAAAGCATTCACTCAAACTCAAGCTTGGATGACTGTAACCAACACACTGTCATCCCTTGTGCTTGATTTAATCTATTACTCATTATAAAGAAGCAAGTGTTCCAATGTTATTTGTTGGAGCATTTGATACTTAATCATTCAATGAAACATGTAACTAGGGATGTATGTGAGCCGGGCAAGGCTAAAATACGACTCATTAATGAGCTCGCAAGTCTAGCTTATTGAAACACAAGTCCAAGCTCGAGTTCAAGCTTATTATGACCCAGCTTGTCAGCTTGTAAGCCGATTAGAATAAAATAAATATTTTTTTTGTGTTAGGTAAAAATTTAAAAAGTTGGTGTTTTCTAATAAAATGTATAATGGAACTGTTATTAGAAAAAAAAAGCTGCAATGAATGCAATCTTTAAATAGTAGGTGGCATTAAATGTGAGAAATAAAGGATTTTTTTCGCATACTATTTCAATTTTGTATGCATGCATGTTTCCCGATTCCCAATACTGGTAATGCCTCTAGATTTCTTATCCCATGAACAAGCAATATCCCCATAAAAATCTTCTCTATCAAGGTTTAGTCTTTGGTCTTCTCGGCATTTTCTCTGGTGAGCTCCTTCATTTCCTCCGACAACACTATAACAAGCGCTCATCAAGACGAGTCAAGCTCTCAGGCCCTGTAAAAAGCAGAATAGCAAAGCTCGAACTCATCCTATGGGCTTAAAAATGGGCTCGAGCTCGAGTCGAGCGTCTTTTTCGTTATTTAAGCCAAGCTTGAGTTTATTATGACGCAGCATGACCCGACTAGATTACAACCCTATATGGAACAAATGAAGCGTACATTTTAATGTCTTTTCTAGATGACATTACAATCAATGGTCTCATGTTTCATAGGTCAATGAAAAACAAGTAACATGTAGATAAGTTTCATTCATGTTTTTAAAATACATCATTGAGATTGAAGAAAAATTAGTGCCAAGTTTGGTAAGTAAACAACAAGTCTAACAAATAGTGATAGCTATGGTGGCAACAAAGTGATATTCGACCTCAAATTTTGTGATATTTTCTTGACTCCGAGAGATGACGTTTCAACTAAAAGGCTTGTTTTGGGCACTAATAAACTTGAAGTCATATTGTCACAACCCATTTAAGATCATAGAATTCATGTAGTTGAAATTGTGAGTTTTGATGAAAAAAATGCTAAAACTGCTAGTTCTATACGTGCTAAGCATTATTTTATTTAAAAAAAGTCCGATGATTTGTGATGATAGAGCCTTCTATCTATGGTAAAGGCTATGTTTAGAAGTATAACTGCTATGCACTATAACTATCTGCGACAACACTAGAAATGGTCTAATCATTGTCTGTAGAACCTTAGTACAGAAGAATAAGTATTTGTAGGTAGTAAGTGGTATAGTTTTAATGGTAGTATTTTTCATCGTAGTATAAACAAGAAAATAATGAATGCGGCTACTTTTTTTTTAATTTTAAGGCATCACTTGTCATTCCTATATGACATAGATTTTTTGGATTGAAGCTACATTTGTTTAATATGAAAGTTTTATTTACTTTTGGTAGCAAATATTTATGGTACTTCATTGAAAGTGGATCAATCTAATTTTAATTGTACTAGACCGTCAGTCGCAAGGGTGTTGTTGGAGAGAGATGTTACACTTCCGTTTTGTGATTCAAGTTGGATTGGTAGTTCAATAGATGAATACTAGCATAATGTGGAAATGGAGTTCGTTCATCTTGTTGTAAGAAATGTAAGATGTTTTGGTATAATTTAGCTAATTGTTTCATTGCCCATCGGAAAATAAAGAAGTTTAATGGAGCAAACAATGGAAGAAAATTTAATGTGCCTAAATTTAGAACCAATAGGAGAGGTTGGGATTACTAACTAAATGGATCAAATCTCTTAAATCTGGTAATATCAGTGAAGCTAGAGAAAAATTTTTAGAGGAAACTGTAAAGGATTCTCAAGGTTCAGTTGATGCTGAGAGTGCTATTTGTGATAATATTATTTGTGATGATAATGGGAAAAGAAGTGATGAAAAGTTGATGTTGGGGATGTTGTTGTAGCTAATAAGGATATTTTTGTTAATATTTCTAATGCTAATATTGATGATCCTTGACCCGACCCACAATTACGCAGTAATTTAACTTCCAAGATTTGAAAAAAAAACTTGACCCAATTTATATTTAGCGACTAGTGTGCAAAATCAAAATAATATAAAATTTAGAATTTTTAATTAATAATTTACACACTAAGGGTAATACACAAATATATGTACCATTTTAAGTAATATAGGACGTTTTTTAAGAACCCCAGTATCAACCTTAAGTAAGAAATCCATTAAGCTAATTCTAATCTACTACTATCAGTCCTTAGTTTGGAATGTCAATTAAAGTGGTTTTTCTAATAATTATTCTTAAATAAAAATCTTAAATCTATAGATAAATTTTCTGGAAAAATTGGTTTTGAGAAATTTGTGATGATAAAGACTACCCTGCTCGTGCAATGACTTAGATAATGTGTAGGAACAAAATACTTAAAATATAATATTGCCAGTGACAAATAGGAGTATACCTATTCTTTACCCTCTCTCGAGTGCATAAAAAACATTGGCTAATCCAGAGTTAACTCTCTAATTCTGTAGTTATGCTGGGAGGATACTAGCTAATACTTTAGAGTTTCCACGTACACTTCACCTGAAGGCTAACATATGGCTTTAGGTTCCAAACCTTTTGATCAAATTGAGAATTTTAATCTGTCACTCTAAAATCTCCAATTTACGTTCATCAAAACTTATCTCCCTATATATTTGCACTCCTTCTTGGACTTGGCATCCCCTTCCTCCAAAGTGAAGTGTAGTACTCCCTAATTGGGTGAAATCATAGCCCTTCCGGGTCATTATGTTTCACAACTGACTTTAACATTACAAGTGATCAGTTTGTAAAGTAAATTAAAAGTTGATGAAAATACCATCACATTAATGAAATAACAGAAGATCTAAGCAAATTTAAATTCCAGAACATTGTTTCCATTTCATTGCAAAAGAAAAATAAAATGAAGATAATGACATAAGTAGTAAGAGAATTGATAAAATTTTGAATTAATTATGTGCCAACAAGAAACATATCTTTTTTGAGTGTATAGGTAAGCCTAATATTCTATTAGTTTCATTCAACTATCTGTCTCCTAGAAGCTTCTAATAGAAATAGATCATTAATAATATTTTCTTAAAAGTTGCCTTCCCGCCTAAACTACTTTGTCATAGCCAACTAACCAATGTGAGTGCACTCATGTTGCGAGATTATTGCTCTCCCGAGTCTTAGCTTCACTTACAATAATTTTTAACATAACATATTGCCACTTAAGTAATGCCAATGAAGTGAAGGGGATTTTTCTCATCACATTAAAATAAAAATAATTCTATCTTGAAACAAATTTTCCTACTTATGCAATTACTTCATATCAAACGAAAAGAGTAAAGAAAACTACTCACAAAGCATGGGTTAAACACAATAGAAAACTTCATTAAATCAAATAAAATCTACTAGAAAGTATTTACAACAATTATAAGATAATTAAGAACATGATACTTAGATTTTTCTTTCTGAAAGAAAGATGAAAATCACTCCAACAAAGTCTCCCGCTGAGATCCATGCAATGCTCAATGCAATGCTCATACAATTCCTTTACACATATCTTTCAAAATCCCTCACCAATCTCTCTAGACATGGTGGAAATCTACATCTCCATATCCTCTTTACACTCATGCGAAAACTCTCTCCAAAAACCCCCCCTCATATGAGGGACGCCAAATCCCCTTTTAAAGAAAAGTCAAGTACCTCCTTTTTTCAAGAGACACCTCTTCACTTCAGGAGACACACACTTCATCCAATAGACTTTCCAAGTGTTTTGATTTATTTAACTACTCCATGGGGCATGCAAGTTGCTCGGAATCTTCCAAAATATCCGAGAATAGCCTGAAATTGCCTAGAATATCCCAATTTCTGGTGCCTAGGTGCCATTTTCTGAGCATGACTGGTGCCCAGGAGCCATTCTGCAAGTAGCTCCATGGTTTTGCCCTATTTAACTCTGTTTCATCTCCGTCCCATCTTGTTTCAGC